GACGCCCGCCCGGCTCACTTGTCCTTCTCCTTCTGCTCCTTCTCCTTCTTCTCGCGCTCCGCCCTGGCCTCCTCCTCCTCGTGCTTCTTGATCAGCTGCTCCACCTCCTTCTGCTTGAGGACCCTGATGACCGTCTTCCCGCTCTCCCGGGTCAGCGTGGCGATCTCCACTGCAGCAGACACAGCGTGACGGCCGCGCGCGGCAGCCCAGCTGGGGTCTCCGCCAGCTCCCCCCGCACAGCCTCACGCCCTGCCCACCACCTCCCAGGACTGACGCTGACACGACTCACGGGCACGTTTATGGGGACAAAACACCTCCCACCTCAGCACTTTCATTACCATTTTTACATAAATGCCTTCCTCCACCCATTCCAACCTGAGCCGCTGCGTTGTCACCCTGGACACAGGACAACCAGCCAGTTGCTGGCGCTAACCAGCCTCCGCCGGTGGCCGAGGGAGCCCCGTTTCCTGCTGGGACCCCTGCAGGCTCAGCTGGAACCTCTGACCAGTAATTTCCCCGATTTCTCACGGACTTTACAGAACAAAGGCATGAAGCGCAGGCTCCCCGACTATGGACAAAAAAGCAGACTGACATCTAAAGGAGAAGGATTTCTGAGCCGGGAGGATGGAGTGGAAAGTGGGAATGGGCAGAAGCATGCAACAGAGGGCGCGTAAGGCAGCCTCTGAGGGCAGGAGGGACGTTCTCCTAAACTAACTCATCTGCTGACTCACTATTTCTGAAAAACATTACTGTGAAATACTGCCTTATACAGCGACAGAACAAGCTACAGAAAGCATTCAGAATGCACACGTGGGCCCTAACCGGTGTGGCTCAGTGGATAGAGCGTCGGCCTGCGGACTGAAGGGTCCCGGGTTCGATTCCGGTCAAGGGCGTGCAGACTGGGCCCTGACCGGTTTGGCTCAGTGGATAGAGCATTGGCCTGCAGACTGAAGGGTCCCAGGTTCGATTCCGGTCAAGGGCACCAAAAAAAAAAAAAAAATGCAGCCGGGGACTTCACATACGCGATCAGTAGACTCAGAACAGATACCACAACACACACTCGTTACGCCTCCGGTAAAGTACACCACCCACCCGCACATATAAACATGTAACCACACACATGCTCACAGGGGCACACGAACACAGACACCACGGTCAGGAAGTCGGTAAGACAATCACCGACGGGAAGCAGCCCCGCTCAGATCCCAGCTCTGGCCATGAGGACGCCAGGCTCACGTCCTCACGCCTGGACGTCCTGTGGCTGGTGGCCCCACAGCTATGGCTGCTGACCGGTCACGCCACTCCCCCCCGGGCCTCGCGGCTCCATTGAGGAAACGGGTGAGGCCACGAGCCCACAGGTCAGGCCCACCCGCGACAGGCCGAGCGCACGGCCGCTCAATCCCTCCCCCGCGGAAGCGCCTCGGGGGCCGAGCTACCTTTCTCGGCGGAGAGCTTGCTCACGTCCATGGTCTTATTCAGGACTTTGACGGCCAAGGCGAGGGCCGACTTCAGGGTCATCTCCCCTTCTTTGTAGTCTTGTTTCAGCATGGACACGGCCGCCTGGGAAACAGGACATCGACAGAGAGGGTCCCTTTAAGCGTTCGCGTCTCTTAGGGACGGGCCCTGGGCAGAATGACGACGCCTGAATTATGATTAGCATGTGGCCAGTAGGAACAATTCTGATGGCAGGGTGGGAAGCCACGGGGTGGGCAGGGGTGGGGGGCTGACGCTCTGTGAATGGAGTCTAACCTGGGGCCTCAGACCTGCAAGGTTCCATGAAGAATTCAGGGAGGGGTCTGCGAACCAAATGTGAAAAAAACTGTCTTATTTTCACTTCTCATTGAAATTAGCATTTTGCCCTGGCTTGTGTGGCTCAATGGACAGAGCATCGGCCTGTGCATTAAAGGGTCCCGAGTTCAATTCCAGTCAAGGGCACAGGCCGGGGTTGCGGGCTCCAGCCTCAGTAGGGGGCGTGCTGGAGGCAGCTGATCCATGATTCTCTCTCATCATGGATGTTTCCCTCTCTCTCCCTCTCCCTTCCTCTCTGACATCAATAAAAATATATTTTGTAAAAGTTAGCATCTCCTTTCATTACACACGCAGGCGATGGACCCGGTGGGACTAGCAGGACCTGTGGCTTCACTGCCAGCAGCAACCACAGGCACCAGGGTCGCTGCAGCTCTACCAACACTGTTCACATTCACCACGATTTCAAACGACAGCCGCTCCCAGACCCCCGGCCGCTCCCGGGCCCCCAGCCGCTCCCAGCACCCCGCCACTCCCAGACCTCCAGCCGCTCCCCGACCCCAGCCACGGACACTCACGGCGCTGTTGTTGCCGATGCAGGTGGCCTTCCAGCCCCCGTAGTTCCCGCTCGGGTCGCTCTGGTAGAGCTGGAAGCCGTAGTGCTTGTCCCAGCCGATGTACAGCAGCGAGACCCCGAAGGGGCGCTTCCCTGTCACACAGAAAACGCCGTCACGGATCCACAATCAGGTGCAGCGTCACCATGGGGACGGAGCTCCCGGCGGCAGCTGAGGCCCTGTCCTGTGGGGCTACGTGTTCGTCGCTGCTTTGGGTTCCGGCCACCAGACCAGCTCCATCCAAACGCCCACTTTTGTTCCCCGTATTGGGACGCAGCCCGGAGACGGCCTGACACAGGCCCCGCTCCGAATCCATTATTATGCAGAAAGCGATCTGTTTCCAGATCTGAAACGTTATTTTGGCCTCTCAAAGGCCTATTAATAAAACATGATCATCTACACCGTGGAAGCCAGCTATCTCACGAAGCAGAAAGCATGGGACGTATTTACTCGTTTAGTTTTCAATGTCTTCCACCATCTCAAAGCTACCGTTCCTCAGAAAACACTTTCCCTTTCTGGAATAAAACCCGCCCCAAACCTCGTACCTCCGAACTGCGTGTAGGCCTGTTTGATGTCGCACAGCGCCGTCACCAGCTGCTCACAGGGGATCGGCTCCTGGTACTGCAGTAAGTACCTGGGACAGGAAAAGGCAGGTTACTTCTTCCCTAAAACACATTACGTTCTAAGCCAAGTGCCCTGAGAGGAAGTCTGTGCCACAGGGACAAGGCGATAGCCACTTGTCACGTGACAGGGAGGGGCGGGGGGATGCCAACGCCCCGACGTTCCCGCGGAAATAACTTTGCGAGTTCGGATGCTTTTGGAATCACACAATCGTTTTCAGTGAGTGGATCTGTGGTGACCCCGTCTCTGGGTCACGACCGTGCCCGTGCCCTCCAGGCCGTACCTCTGCGCAATGAGCCGCAGCTCGTTGGTCAGCACGTTGGCGTCGGAGGTGATGCCCGCCACGCTGCACGCCATGTCCCTGGGGGAAGGAACACGTCGGTGTGTGAGCGGGCGGCGTCCGAGAGCGTCCCGGACCAGCGCCAAGTGCCACCTCCTCCTGGGAGGGACCACGCTCGCTTCCAGCCAGAGGCTTCTGTCTGAACAGTTCCCTTCGTGGGATAAACCTGATGTCACGTGGCAGGAGAGACCGCCCCCTTCAGGGCTTCCACAGCCGGACCTGTCAT